CGCGCAGGCCGCGCCAGATCGATGCCCGGGGGGGACCAACTTGGTAAGTTGTTACCTGGGGGCTTGCCTAGTTGTCACGAGGTGCCACATGTCGCAATTTCACTGGTGGGCCAAATCTGCCCTCATCACTATACATTACATAAACATTGCTTCCATTTGGAATTTTACATGTTTTTTATTGTTATTTCATACGGTATGTCTTATTTTGCAGTAGATGCTAGATAGCGAGGAAAAAATGTTTGATCCACCGGACTGTTACCTAAACAGTGCTTGTTTCATTAAATGTGATTTTTGAATCAGACTGTGCAAAGCCGGTTTTGTCATGCTGTAAAACTGTTCCTGATACTCAGATATCGTTTTTTTGCTGTCGAGACATTAAGGAAGCAGCCGTGAGAAAGAAATTATAATTTCAAGCTTTGTTCTAGGTTTAGGAATGGAAGTGGCTCATGCTGTATTCTGTTTAGTTTGTTTTGTTGTTTGTTTTATCGTTAATGAAACTTTAAACATACTAAAGTCAAAGCACCAATCCAGGGCTGGCTCGTTGGTGTGTTAGTTGGGTTATCCAGCATCGATGCGGATTCAAAACTCGCAACCCCGACTTTGGCTGAAAAGAAAAAGGGTAAAAGGGATAGGGAAAAGTTATTGCCTTTTTAACCAAAAAGAAAAAGACAAAGCATGACCCGAGGGTTGGATTATGGGTCAACTCATTGACCCCATTTTCAGGTCTAATTGGGACTATTTATGCATTGTTAGAAGTCTCCACTTTTTAATTTTTACTATTTAGTCTTTACTCTTTATTATTTATTTTTTGAATTGTTAAATGTTTAATATTTTTTATTTTTTTATTTGGAATTTTAAGATTAATTCCTTTATTTTTGGCATTTTTCATGTTTTTTTTTTAAAATTTCATATATTTTTTGGGATGACTCAAATTGACCCATGGGTCAACTCTAACCCGAACATTTAGTGTTAGGATCTAACATTTGACAACCCGAAGTGTCTTGACCCAACCCAATTGCCAAGTCTAATGTTGTATATTCTGGGCAGGAAAATTTTCCCCATTACACGCACCCATAATCCTCTTACTCAGGATCTGCTACTTGCATTGCCGTGTTGTGGGCTAGTAATCAATTATAATTTATAAATGGGACCCACAATGGTGATATAATCAATCATGATTGAACATGCTAGCACTAGTACGTAGTAGCTTGCGATACACAGTAGTTCCGGGCCTTCCAGTAAGTAGCAGATTTTGGTGGTGTTCGGCATCGTATTCATCTCGTGGATGGGACCGAAACAGCTGGGTGTGGACGGGACCAGTCCACACCACACCCCAACATAGCATGGAACGCTCCTGTCCACACCCCAATATAGTGTCAACGGAAAAACTCATGGATGCATTCGCTCTATGGTTTATTTTTTATCCCATGCTTCACAAGTCTCTCTGAAACCTTATTGTTTGTTTTATATTACCGTTGGATTAAAACCTATTTTTGATCCCATGCTTCAAATGTTTAAATATTATTTTTAATATTTTTGTTAATAAAATATTAATTATTTTATTTAATTTTTAATTTTTATAATTTTTTTTATGTTTTTATCAATAAAATAAAAATTTTAAATATTTAAAATATATTTTTAATTATTTTACTATTGTTTTATAAAAAATTAATATTTATTGGTTAATATTAATTCATTGATGCATTTTTCAAAATATTTGTCATATAAAATGCAAAAATTAGATATTTATGATTAACTGTGTATATCATTCATAAAATGTATATGAGATACATGAAATAAAAAAAGAACACCGATGTGGATGCGGACTGGTCCAATCCACATAGTTTGTCCGCACTTCAAAACAGATGTGGACTATGGGGTGAACTGGTCTACATCCATCAATTTCTCATCTACACTACAAAACACCCCTTTTATGTCATATTCACTCTCTCTTGGCAATGGGTGGGTACGGAATGGTTTTGTAAGACAAGGAGAGTCATAGTATTCAAGGGTCTAGACCTAGGCTAAGCACCCCAACGCTTAAGTTAGCCGAGTAGAGAGTATTTAGAAAACAGAGAGAGAGAGAGAGAACTCTTATATGCATGATTTCACACGTATCTTGTGAAGGTGTGATCCTTTTATACAGGCATCGGGGTCCGAGTGGCGTATTCAACATATCTAGGAACAATAAGAATTATCAGCCTGTTAATTTTGGGGCACGTCATACCAGCATTGCGATGATCCTCATCTAGTTCCTCACAAAACGAATGGAACCAGACTCATCACTACCAGGTGGGTGATGTGTCGTTGTGTGCCACGGAGTTGTCGAGGTGTCATAAAGCGGTTCAGACTTATCACATGACAGAGTATAACTAAAGGGCCAAATCACCCCTCATCATATTGGATTTTCAAAATCCAAATCCTCTCAACATTTGAGGGTGGATGGATTGGATCTAATTTCCTACTATTTCCTGTTATATATAAACAATAAACAAGTAAAAGAATCAAATTTTTTATTTATTTGATTAAAATATATAAACAATACATAAAATATCAACTATCCTTTACATCAAATTTAAAATATTATTAAATTCAACACCTAATACATAAATTTATATACCTGCCAAAAATCTGTTTCTCAAGCAAAAGAAGGCGAGTAAGGGCTGCTGGGCTGGTACCCACCGGACAGGGTAGAAATTAACATCCCTCTCTATCCAGGCCAGGCCCAATGATATCATGTTAACTTATTTAAGTTGCCCGCCTGAATCCGTTGCCAGCTAACAGGCCTTCCATCCAATGCTCTTTCTTCTCGACTCTTTGATAGTTGGTTACGGTTGATGCAAAAGCCCACGAACCAACCAAAGGTGGTTATGGGATCTCAGGGATGCGAGATCGGTTGTCATGTACGATGCCCCAACTTAAACTACAGCAGTTGCACAGCCAACGATGATTTCCCAATGTTTAGTACCTACCGGCTGAGACAAGAAACAAGGCTTTCCTCAAGAAGAAAAACAAACTCAATAGACAAAGAAGAAGCAATCACAACACATTTAATTTAATCTCTCAACATCCAAATTTAATGGTTCCTGAAACTACTTACTCTGTCTAGATTGTTAAATACTTGTACAAAAACAATGCCTGTAATGCTACTAAAAATCAAAAGAATCATTCCAATGGAAGATGCTCCAGCTCTAACAGCTTTTCCTTCTTTTTAGAGATGGAAAATTGGAAAATATGTCGAATAGAAACACCTGACGGGTGCAAAGTATTGCCAATTGCTAATTAAATAAAACACTGGTGTCCCAAAACTGGAATTCCTGAGAAACTACTGGTCCAAGACTCCCAAAGAAATTCCTTGGACAGCAAGGAAAATTAATGAGCTAATCAAGAGTACGGCAGATATATCCAATCAACCACTTGTAATAACATCAATCCTCACCAAGTACAGTAAGTGACCTCATTTATCCATCTCCCGGTTCCATTGGAGGATTTAGAGAAGCCTGAGATGTGCAGTATCATTGAGTCTATTTATCTGCCATCCTGTTGTTAATGAATGCTGCAATACCGTCACTGAAGAATCATCTATACAGATCTTAGTCGACATTGCTGGGCCACTTCCAAGGAGACCAGTGAGGAGACATTTAATTGGCACAGCATGGGTGAAAACACCAATGGATGTGTAGGAGGAAGAGGACTCATTTCTGACATCTGTTTCATGAAGTTGATCTGGATTTTTAGCTTCCTGAGGGGAAAGCACATCCTCAACCTCATGATCTCCAGTTGTGGTCACAAACTGAAACTGGCTCTTACCAGATTTCTTTTTTGAAAGGCCCTGCCTGTGCCTGTGAAGCAGATCCCCATGTGGAGGTGGGGATACAGGTCCATCTTGGTACTGAACTGAATTGGCCGTAGCCTGAGAGTTATGGCTGGAAAAGCTCTTCATCGCATTCTGATGGAGCAACAAAACATCCCTTGTTCTCAGCTTTTCAGGAAGCTTGACTATACCATTAAAGAATTGGATCATCCTGAATTCCACCTGCCTAAGTGATTCTCCAGATGGTGCAGAGAAGTCAGACTGCAATTTATTAATTATATTCATAATTTCTGGAGTGTATATTTCTGAACACAGAGACCCCTCCCAATGGCCTTCACTCTTCTCAACAAGAGCATCTGATGATTGGATTTGTTCCTCTGCAAAATTCAATTCCTGTGGAATTTGGAGTGAACATCTTTTGGCTCAGTTAAACATCCGGTAGAGAAAAGAATTACAAATAATAAAATTCTACAGGTGTCTATTCTGAGAAAAGTTTTTTTTATAATAAAATAAAACTTATTGAAAGGAATCATAAATACAAGGAAGGTAATAATAAACCCGTCAACTTCAGAGGTACATTATGAAATTCGTATTGATCATAGCATCAAATGACTAATAGACTCTAGACAAGTAAACTGTATAGTTCATGATACTTCAATTTCAACATTAGCATTTACTTTTGATTTGCAAATGCTTCAATTTGAAAACAGACAGCATTTATTTTCTTCATTTGCAAAATCCTGGAGTTGGCTCAATAACCTTAAATACATATCTGTATGCTTTGTTATCTTCAAGCAGCCCAAGGACAACAATCGCAAATAACAGTCCATACAGTTACTCAAAATTACTAACTTCCTGAATAATCAAAGAAAATCTAAGACGGAGTAGTCACGAGAAACAGCAAAAAAGAAAGTACCTGGCAAACCAAAACGGCGGTCGCCTTCGCCCGGTCAAGCGGCGACAAATAGACAACACTGAAGCGAACCCCGCGAGAATTAAGGAACACCGCCAAGGCCCTCGCCTGCCGCTTCCCATTCGGCATCAGGGATGCCTCTGGCCACCGTCCAGGAACCAAATCTGGCCTGAGATTCATACCACATTCGCCATGGTTGATCAAGAAGACCTCGGTAACAATATGATCATCGTTATCAAGGGCGTCCGATGAGAAAAACCTCGGTGGGGGCGGTGGTGGTGATGGCGGTGGCTCGAGAACGTTGTAAGGATCCATACCTTAATTGAGGGTCCGAGACGCGGAGTTCCAACTGTGGACAACTGAGGAGACAGGGGAGACGCGGACGCGTGACATGGGAGCATCTCCGGCTCTTGCTCCAAAACCTTCTTCATCACAGGGTTCTCCAATTCTCTTTTATCTTTTTCGCCATTATTGTCCTCCTCCTCCTCCTCTTCTTCTTCTTCTTGGACGGATTGAGAGGATCCCATCCTAGCTCATCTTCCTACTAAGACCACCAGATGAGAGGATCTAGGGCTGTTGAAGTGGCATCTGATTCATGAGATCGATGGGCTTATCTGCATAAAACATCTAATCTAGTCTGAATTGCAGGGAAAGGAAGGTAACCTGCAAGGCTGCAGTGCAACGAACTACGGCTTCGGAATCTAGGAGTACAAATCCTGATGAGAGGAAGATCTGGGGTTGGTTTTCAGGAATTCGGACCTGCTGACCACAAAACATCGATAGCCACACATCGGGAACATCTCCAATGAATGACAACAGAAAATACAAGTGATGTTCCTGATGTGCGGCTGCGTGGATGTTACCAGAGATGTGTTGTACCAGTGGATCCGAACTCGGTTTTCAGTTTGTGGTTTGTTTGTACTATGCCTGATATTATGATTTGGGCGATCCAAATCTGGCTCTATCTGTTTCTTATCGATGGAGTGAGATAACGGATCTGCAGCAAACATTGATTTGAGCACAGCCAAATTTTTGATAGGGAGGGCTCGAAACCAAAGACAGCCTAAATGGTGATGGGATCTGCTCCTCACACTGGGCGCCTAAACTGGGAACATCTCCCGTGAATTATAACAAGAGACTGGATCTGCTCCTCACAGTTGGCGCCTCACATGCACATCCTACCATCCATTAGGAACATTTTCCGTACTCATTAGTTATTATTCATGGGAGATGTTCACATTGGATGTACCAGTGAGGCGCTCATTTGTGAGGAGCAGATCCCGCTTCTTATAACTAATAAATGCGGGAGATGTTCCCAATATATGATAAGATGTGTGTGTGTGTGTGTGAGGTGCTTGTGAGGCGCTAGGTGTGAGGAGCAGATCCGGTCTTGCCTAAATGAGCCCGGTTTAGGATGTGGCAGGCCAAATTAGTCAGGAAAAATATAAAAAGTGAAAAAAAAAAACAAATAAAGATTTCTAATTTAATATTTTCTCTTAGGTTGTGTTTGGTTGTGGTGCAAATTTATTTGCACTAATACAAATGTATGGGAGTACAAATGTAAATAATGCAAATTCTTGTTTTATTTTGTTTCAGATTTTGCTTTATTCTGCTTCATCTCTTAATTTACTTCATTTGTATTGCAATCAAACAAAATAAGCTAAAATTTAAAACAAAAATAAATCAGAATTTACACTCAAATCATTTGCACTACCATGATTTTGCATCAATGCAAATTTATTTGCATTGTAACCAGACACAGCCTTAGGTTAATAAATTAAGAAAAAAATAATTTATTTAAATCTCATTTTCTTTTTCATAAATCCATTTATGCAGTGTAAAAAATGGATCTTTGTTTTGCAGAAACAAGTATCTTTAATTTGGGATTATACAAGCTTATTATTGCCATCCTGTTCCAATTGAAGTGTATTTCATTTACATGAAAACAAATTAGAATAATAGGGGTGTGAGAGATAGACATGCAAAAACACTATAGACCCGGTTTAATCCATTTTGAACCAAAACTGAGTCAGTCCGGTCTAATAGTAAGAATGCATGATTCTCATGACTGGGCCGAACTTAGCACCTATAAAATATGAACTATGATAAGGGCTATAGCCCGGGCCCAGTTGTATACAGGGATATAACATATTACACACACATGGATTACGGATTACCCCACAATTAATTAGCGAAAATAAAATTACCATACAATTAATTAATGGATTATGAAACAAATGTTCTTGAAGGCATCTCAAGATACGAGGCATGTGCCTTGTACTTCAGGCATGAACCTCGAAGTTGAGCCTAATTAAGGGCTTTTTTTATATTATTTTATTTAATTAATTATCTATCTATAGCAATATTGCCTCAGGGAGGCTTTTCTTTAGCATTACCATGTAAGACGAAGATGTGTAACAATGGTTTAATGCCATTCTTCTACTTGTTGGGATTAGATTAATAGGCGTTTAGCATTGATGTCGTTGTTTCAAAGCCATTTTTTCGA